AGGGACCGTGGTTGGAGGATTTTGTGGATGACTGTCTCCTGTGGGAGGGACCCCACACTGGAGCAGTGAAAGAGTCTGAGGAATCCTCCCCTGAGGAGGAAGGAGCAGCAGAGACAACGCGTGATGCACTGACCCCAACCCCCATTCCCTGTACCCCTGTGCCGCTCAGAGGGAGGAGGTAGAGAAAATTGGGAGTGAAGTTGAGCCCGGGAAGAAGGGAGGGGTGGGGGGAAGGTGTTTTAAGATTTAGTTTTTATTTTTCATTATCCTACTCTGATTTGACCAGTAATAAATTAAACTGATTTTCCCCAAGTCAAGTCTGTTTTGCCCGTGACAGTAATTGCTGAGTGATCTCTCTCTGTACTTATCTTGACCCACGAGCTTTTCATTGTAATTTTCTCTCCCCTGTCTAGTTGAGGATGGAAGTGATAAAGCAGCTTTGGTGGGCACCTGGCATCCAGCCAGGGTCAACCCACCACAGTTCTGCTTGGTTTTGGCTGCTGTTAGTAATCCTGGAGTTTAACTACATGGCAGAGAGCACTTCCAGTGTCACAGCAGAGCAGATGGTAACTTGGTATCATTGGTTACAAAGGAATCAAGTAATTCCAGAGCATGTATTAATGATGTTGAGAGTGCCATTTACTGCAACCTCAAACTAATCCTCTCACCCTGTGTTTCCAGCCAAGAACAAGAAAGGGAGAGCTCTGAAACAACAGTAATGATTTAGCTTGTCTGGCTTGTGCTTTAGGGCAAAAAGCTTCAATAGAAAAGAGTTTAATATGAAGTTAGAGGAAATTTGCTTGACTGGTTTGCAAAAGTCTACTGAATGGTTGATTTTACAAAAATTGAAAATTATAGTAGGCAGTCTTTTAGTTTATTACTAAATTTTTGAGATAACTGCTTTTTTTCACAGTCTGTTTACAAGTGTAACCATAAAATATCATGCCAGCACTCTTGAAATATAGAATAAATTGTTATGAGGATTACATCCCAAGCAGAAGTGAAAGCTTGATTTCTATTCAATATTTATTTTCAGATTAAAACCAAATGAAAATATAGGGTTTTTTCAGATTCATATATAGTGTGGTTTGTATAATTACATTCTGACACATTTCTATTTCCTGTTTGTTCAGCAAAAAAAGAACCAATGCTAGAGGGACATCAAACTGATGTAACCCACAGTGTCTTTACCACTTCTCCTACGGCATATGATACTGAACACATAACTGCTGCTCCAGCAGGCAGAGATCAAGAAAGAAAAGCAAACTTAGGTATGTTTCATTCCATGAACTTTTTTTTTGCAGCTGAACCTAGCATTTAGTTTGGATTCCTAAATGGGTGTCAAACTGACTTCACCTTTTCTTTAAATATAGACTTCAACCCATATCTGTAAATTTTGGGGTGAACAGATGAAATTTCAAATTATTGATTAATGTTTGAAAAAAAGGGAAACTATATCAAAAGAAGCATAACATGATTTATTGTAAAAAAAGTGTTAATGGACAGGTACACTATTGTTGTATTTCTTCAGATGAAACTGCTTATTTATATTGAAAATTTGATGTTAAAGGTTAGTTTTAGCATTTCTAAAGTACGTTTTTATGCATAGTTTCAAGGCTCAAGTGTTGCAATGGTACAAACCACCGATAATTTAGTATCTTGTTGTGCTAGTTAGAATTAAGGAAACTTAGTGTTAAGGGAACTAGACAATCTCAAGACATCTGTTACAACCTAAACTGCTATGTAATTCTGTAACTTCCGGCCCAGACAATTAAAAAAAATAATGGTGCCTTAAAAAAAAAAAAAACATTTACACTGAAGCAGATAACAGTAATTGTGCACCTGCACAAACAAAAGTTTGCTGCCATTCAGCTCCACCATGTCTAACATTAAAATGCTTAATCAGTCTGTGATGTAAACAATATTCCCACATTAGAATTGAGTTTTTACTTACTAGAAAAACACCACTGGAAATGCCTGCATAAATTTTAGGAAGCATAAACATTAATCAAAAGATCTTCACAGGAGATTCTTTTTAGAGCATGATATACCTACAAAGGTAGGAAAGAAAAATGATTTTTTTAAAGAATTTACTGTAACACCAGCTTTTTCACTAGGCTGCAAACCACATTGCAGTTTTAGCCTTCTATTTTAACTGTTATAGCCTATATCATGACTTTAGCACCCCAGGATTTCAGGTTACCTTTAGAAGTTGCAGGCTCTTTAGAAAAGGGATCTTGTATACAAGCATGGGATAGCCTTGTTTTTCAGTTAATTTCAGTGTCAGGAAAGGGAACTTGTAGAACAAGAGTTTTGAATTTTTAAAACGTTTAAACTTTTTAGAAACTTTAAAAAATACCTGTTGGATGCTTGAATGAAATTCAAATTTAATGATTTAATAGCAATGCATAGATAAGGGATGGAGGAGGAGAAGTAGAAGGAGGCTTGTTTATAATAAATGTTTCTCTAATACAGGGAATCCACTTTCATCAATACAAAGGCCTGTACTTAAAAGACAAGCACGGGTAGATTACAGTCTTGATACAACAACAGAAGACCCTTGGGTTAAAATTTCTGACTGCATAAAAAGCTTATTTAATCCTACCATGAGTGAAGACAATGTCCACTTAGATTTGCAACCTGGCATCAACACAAACAAAGAGAATCAAAACCAAAGCAGCTCAGAGACAGTTCTGAAGAAATCAGAATCAGAAACAGTCGGTTCAAAAGTGCTAAAATCAGATGACAATGACAGCGTGAAAAAGGGTCCTCCTGTTGCACCTAAGCCAGCCTGGTTTCGCCAAAGTCTGAAAGGATTGAGGAAAGCTAATTCAGATCTAAAAACACAGGCAGATCAAAGTCCTCCTGACTTAGAGAGTAATTCCAGCAAAGAACTGCAATCCAGCTTATCCCGTGTGTCTCCTAGGGGATCATCAATAAAACAAAGAATAAGCTCATTTGAATCCTTGAGTGCTCCGCAGTCACCTGAAAAAATACACCGAAGGTTTAGCCTGAAACCATCAGTCCAGAAAGAACACTCTCCCACTGCAACAGGGTCAGAAGTGGCTCCAGCTCATTTAAACCAAGCCTTTCTCCAACATTGTGAAACTAGCCAACAACAGTCAAAGTCACCTGTGGTCATGGGTACAAAGAGCCTAGACAGATCTTCCACTCCCAGGGAGGTCCTTGCGGCTAGCTCAGAGAAAAGCAACAATGCTAGCACTGCAGATTCCTCGCATCTCTTAACTACAGAACCCATTGCAACTTCTCATCTTGTATCAGTAGCAAAAGCACACAGCCTTAGATCACGAAGCTTCCCACTTACTGCTACCCAGTCTTGTGAGATGACGAAGCTGTATGATGAAAAGTGTAGCAAAATCTATTCCATCAGTAGCCAGGTGTCATCTGCTTTAATGAAATCTTTGCTTTGCCTTCCTCAGTCTCCAGTCTCCTCTGGAAACAGTGCATGGGAAACGTTGGACACACTGTCTCAGTCCTCTGTGGAAGAGGATGGGACTTCTCTCTCACCCGCAAGTGAGAATCATCACCTGGATGCTGGGTTTTCACTAAAGTAAGATACCATATTTAAAAATCAGATTTGCAGATCAGCATTGGTGAGCATCTGTGCTGATCCACTGACAGATTAACATTCTAAGGTAGTAGCACACAATAGCAAAGCACAGATTAAGTTAAGAACTTTTTAGAGCACAAAGGTTGAATGACTCATGACTGTTACACACTTGTTTTTAATTTGTACTATATAAGCATATGTATATTTCAAACTTCCTCCTACTTAAGGAGGAATATTTGTAGCATCTGCATGATAAAGGAGATTTAAATCTGTTTTTTGCCTGGGGCCAAGAGATTATTCCTATTCTTTTATGTGATGGATCCTACTGGTTTCGGCTGGGATAGAGTTAATTTTCTTCCTAGCAGCAGGCATAGTGCTGTGTTTTGGATTTAGTAGGAGAAGAATGTTGATAACACGCTGATGTTTTTAGTTGTTGCTGAGTACTGCTTATGCTAGTCAAGGACTTTTTCAGCTTCCCATGCTCTGCCAGGCGCACAAGAAACTGGGAGGGGGCACAGCCAGAATAGTTGATCCAAACTGACCAAAGGGCTATTCCATACCATATGACGTCATGCTCAGTATATAAACTGGGGGGGGTGGCCGGGGAGCAGTGATCGCTGCTCGGGAACTGTCTGGGTATCGGTCGGCGGGTGGTGAGCAATTGCATTGTGCATCACTTGCTTCGTGTATCATTATTATTATTATCATTATTATACTGTTACTATTAGCATTACTATTTTACTTTATTTCAATTATTAAACTGTTCTTATCTCAACCCAGGAGTGTTTCTCACTCTTACTCCTCCAATTCTCTCCCCCATCCCATCGGGGTAGGGGGAGTGAGCGAGCGGCTGCGTGGTGCTTAGTTGCTGGCTGGGGCTAAACCACGACATTCTGTTAGGCTAACATGATTAGTTTACGTTTGTATGTATTTATAATATTTATTTATAGGAGCTACCACCCCAATTACATGCTAATAAGATCAAAAGATGACTGCTCCAAAATTGTCTGTACTATGCTTTTGTGGGTATGTTCTTTAATAACTCAGTGTTTCTTTTTTACTCTGCTCACAATGGGACAGCCTCTCTGAGTTGAGAGAATATACTGTGAGCCTAGCAGACAATGAGAAAGAGGAAGAGAAACAGGAACACGGCTCACCTCAAGCATCCGGTGTGTCAGGGCAGTCTGTCATCTCTCTGCTTTCCCCTGAAGAGTTAGAAAAGCTTATAGAGGAAGTCAAATCGCTAGACGAAGCAACCTTAAAGGTAAATCTGCTTTTTCTTTTTGTGCATGATTTTCAGAAAACTGTGGAGTGGATGTGCCTGGTTAATCTTTGCAACTTCATATTACAACAAATAAAACAATCATCTCAATATGTACCAGTAGTAATGTTTAGCTCTTTTGATCAAAAATCTTGAAGAAGTCTTCAAAGATAACTAAGCAAGAGCAATACCCATTTAACTAATGGGGTAACAGTTACTCAGCAGGTAAGGTCAGTGTATGCAGAAGTAGGCATTGATATTTTGGAGGCCTTTGTTTTTATTTGGGTTGCCAGTCTGAGATAACCAATGTCTCATTTTGGGGATACTAAGAAACCTTTAGTCTTACTGGATTCATCTAGATTTGCAATAAAGCTCAGAATAAGTCAAAGTCAAGGTTAAATGTGTACATCCCAGAACTCTAAAGACTTTTAAAGACTGCTCACACTCAAAGAAAAAGCAGGTAACATCCAGAGCTCTGCATTGAAAACAGTTCAGCTTCTGCTGGTAGCTACATGCTTGCTATGGTGAGACACTCCAAGCTGTGCAAAAGCTGCGTAACTGCATTAACGCACCAATGAGCCTAAGCTAATACAGTTTTCGCCTCTTGGCTAACTGCAGTGGCATGTATTCCAGGTTAGTCCTGGTTTGTGTCTGTCCTGCACAGAGCATGGGTAGAGAATTCATGTCTGCCTATCAGAATACTAGGTAGACATATTCTCATGTCACAGACAAATTCTTACTGACTACATCAAACTTTGCCAGTATGTTGCAATCAAAAAGCAGTTTGACAAGCAGAATTTATGAAACCCAAGTTTTGTATCAATTTGTGTTTCTTGTCAACATCCCACGTTGATATTTTTGGCCTGATTAGCAGTAAAAGCTATGTGGCAATTTTGCCCTCAACGGGACATTAGCCTCTCTCATATCAAGTCATCTGTTTTCAAGGAATTTTCAGGACAGTCTCTGAGCAGCACGTACCCTCTGCCTTGTTGCAGCTGGCCAGTGGATTCAATTGTGGAAGGAAACAAGACACAATAGAAAAAAATGCAACTACAATTGCTCACATACTGAACATGATTGTGAAACTGTGGTCATAAAAGCCATGTTTCCTTAGGAAACTAGGTTGTTACCCTATACAAACTCATCTTTGGGATAGCCCAGTCAGAGATAGCTTACTCTACCTGTTACTAGAACATTGTTAAAAAATAAAAATAAGACTGAGAAGCAATTTTTTGAGCTGTGACACTTATATCCACGTGAGTTGTATGCCAAATTATTTTTCCACTTTTTCAATGAAAAGGTCCTCTAATGTGATTCAGCAACATTTTCTGCTTCTACAGTACATATCTATACTCTTTAATATAATTCAATTCATGGTCCAGATCCAACTGATAACCTGTTTACCAAATCAGAACAATCTTAGACACAGAATAGCTTTTTTTATAAAATCAGTAGTTGATCGGTAACTTGACCAAAACCAAATACTAAACATGTCTCAGTATTATGCTTATGCCACTAAGTCTCACTATAAAATGCACAATGGACAAAAAGAAAACACGCCGGTTTTCCAATCATCTTGACATATCTATTGGGAAGTTCTTGACATTATTTCTTTCTCTGCCTAGGAATTTGATGATATTCATGTTACAATTTTGCATAAAGAAGAAGATACCGGGCTTGGATTCAGCCTGGCAGGGGGCATTGATCTAGAAAACAAAGTGGTAACAGTAAGTAGCATCTTTCTTAAAAAATACTCCAAAACCAACTACTCTATCTAAAAATATATAACTTACTGGTTTTCTACTACAGAGGTTGGCTTTTGGCATAATCAAAGTAGGCAGCTGTACTGATAGGGTCAGAAGAATCATGGTTGTAATGGGTGAAAACAGCATCCTTCTGCACAGAGCTGCCCTCTCCAGGTGATTGGCAGTGGTGTCGTTTCCTTGGGCACCATACTCCCCAACAGCTCTGAAAGCCAAGGCAGAACAACACACACCTCTCCGC